GCTGAACTCAAAGCTAAACTCAGAGACAGATTCCTATAAAATCTACCGTGACTTGTTTTCCATCAGTGTTTCTTTAGTGAGAAACTGTTCTGTGGTGATTGCCTTGTTGCCAAATTCATCATTTAGAGCGTTGCTTACATAAGAACAAAAAGCAGGATCAGGAGGCTCAGAGAGGCTGAGGGGTCTCCATCTTTGGAAACTCAAGTGGATGTGGCCCTGAGCAACCTGCTGCAGGTGGCCCTGCTGTGAGGAGGGGCGGGTTGGATTAGGTGATGTCCAGTGGTGCCTCAGCCATTTTGTGATATATGAATTTTGTGAGCACTCTGTGATTGCTGACACTGCGCTTTTTGATTGTTTTTAAAGCATTGTCCATCACCCCTGAAATTTCACAGCCCGTGAAATCCCCACTTATAGTGGGATTGAGTTACCTCAACATGTACATATAGTACCACTTGAGATGTCTTACAATATCTCACTTGGTCTCTGGCTGCAGCTCCAGAAAGGGAAAGATCTCTCTATGGTTGTACCTGTCAACCCTGAGAAGAACTCATAGATGCCCTGGAGCACCCCAAAATTAGCTAAGCTAATAACTAAGTGCTCAATGGAATTATTAGGAAATAATCAACTTCTTGTTTTGCTAATTCTACTGAGTGTGGAACCATTTTGTTGATACTTCCATATTTTAGTTTGCAGTGATGATTTAACTCATAAATTCAAAGGCTTCACTGTGATGAATGAAACTGAGCGATATGAAGCCCTCAGACACTGTCGTTATGTGGATGAGGTCATCAGAGATGCACCCTGGACACTGACACCCGAGTTCCTTGAAAAACATAAGGTACATTCCTCCCCTTATCCCTCTCTTCCCCTTTGTAGACTGAGAGTTGAGAATAAACAGCAAGTCTGTGAAATTCTATTAGCTGGAGCAAATTATTTAATTCAGCTAATTCCAGCCACTGAAATTAGGTACATGGCATTGCTTGCCTCCATCTTTGCCAGAAAATGTTATATTTGTCTTGCCTTTTTTTCTCAATATGCTGAGCTGATTTCTGTAGTGGGATTTGTGAATGGCAAAATAACACTGAGGAATTATTCACAAATTGACTTTCAGGAATGGAGATAATGAATCATCAGGAAAGCAGATCATGAACCATCAAGTTACCGTGTAGTGACTAAAGTCCTGTTAAAGTCCTGCATTAAAGGCACATTTCTTATTAATGTCAATAGGTGCAATAATTAGCCAGAAATATGTAAAAATGTCAGGTGTCCTCTCTAAAAGGCAGGATAGAATTTCTTACATACTACTGACTGGCTTGCAATATATAGAAATCTTAACAAAAGCAGAATCAACTAGGATGTATTTTAATGTCCACATCACTAGGTGACATTACTAGCATGACAGTACTAGGTATACATGTATATACGCACATCCCTAAGGAGGCAGAATCAATAATCCTGCCTCCATGGTTTTGAAAGCCAAGGTTTTGCCACTTGACTTAGCTCTTCCAGTTGCAGCAAAAGCAAGAACGAGTGTCTTAGGTTTTCTACAGGCTATCACACAGAGCCAGCCAGAGCTATGTGTTAATGGCAGTGCTTCTGGAGATGAGCTTGCTGTTCTTTCATAACTGATCACACAACACAGCAGTTGTAGGCCTAAATCTAGTGCAGTGTTCTAGGTGATGGCTTTAGGGTGAGAATGTCAAAAGCAAATCAGATGAAGTGGAGAAAAGAGATTATCCTCCACAACGACCCCCCACTGAAGCAAAATTCAGTGATGGTGGCATGTGATTCTTCTTCTGTTCACTGGCAGATTGACTTTGTAGCCCACGATGACATCCCGTACTCCTCCGCTGGCTCGGATGACGTATACAAACACATAAAGGAGGCAGGTAAGGGCAACTTTACGTTTTTAGCACCTTCCTTTACAGCCTCAGCTCTAATCCTTTTACTGCCTTTTGACCGCAACTGCTGGGAGAGAAGCAGTAGAGATAATATCATGTTCTCTTACACCCTAACAGTAGGTACTGCTGACTTCAGCAGAAAGATTCACTTTGTAAAACCACAAAGGATGTCCTTGGCTGAATTCCTGCCATAACCCCCAGGAAACCATTCAGATCTGTCATGAAAGAGTCCCATCTGGGTTTTTAAAACAATTTTAGGGTGCTCAACTAAAAGCTTTGAACAGTTGAAAATGAGTTGAGTTCCCACAGGAGCCCAGCCAACATCAGTGTTTTGTTAATAACCGCAAACTGATGGCTCCGTGACACAGCCCAGTCCTGAATATGGGCAAGCACAGGCAGCCTTCAGGAGTCATCAGGATCCACTTCTGATTTGCACCAAGAGTTGTTCTTGCTACACCGGCAGAGGTTTTAAATTAGTACCAGAGTATTAATTTGCCATGACTATTTAACAGTTTAGTTGACTACCATATTACACTGAACATGAACATGCTGAAGTCATCAGGAGTTTGTATCTCTTCAGTTCAAGGAAACTGAAGTAAATCTGAGGAGATAATGTTAAACCACTGTTTGCCAGCAGCAGCTATCCTAACACAGTGAACAGTGCAGCAGGAGGAACTGATCATACCTTTTTTCTCCTGCTCCCCGGAGGTGCTGCTTTGAACCCTGGCAAATCCATCCTCTTCCTGGTCTACATAAACATGTATATTGGAGGCTTAAAAAAATTCCAGAGTGAATCTGCCTGATGGTAATTTGTCATGCAAAGTCACATTCTCAAGCTATGTGATGACAGCAGTAGACCAGGTATTGCCTCGAGCTGAAAGAATAAGCTTTTTGTAGCAGCCTTTTTGATCTTTTTTCCACTTGCAAGCCTCGCTGTGGTGTAAGACTCACAACCCTCCTTTGAGAACTGCTGTTCTACAGTTTCAGAGCCAGCACCATCTTACTTCACTAGGCAATGGAACAAAGGTACCCCTGGTAAGGGCAGGTCACCAAGGGACATAGATCATTCATGCTGGACAGGCAGCTATTTTGCTTTTCTTCTGTAAGGTGCTGAGTGCACAGGACAACATGACAGGAGCCCTTGGTGTCACTGCATCGTTACCAGACTGAGCTGGAGAGTGCCCAAACCTGGCACATCCTTCTCTGCTGCTGTTGGGCATGGGTGCAGCGCGCACGTGTCCTGACAAGAAAGTCAAACTTTGCAGAACAAGAGCATGGTCTTCCGCTTCAGGGACTTGTGGTCTGTCCTGTGTCTGTCCCTGAGGGATGCTGGAGAAGTGACTTCAGTCTTGTGTGGCTGAATTTTGTTATATATAAACTGGGAATAATGTTACCTTATTTGTGAAGAGTTTTGAGATCTAGTGCTGTAATAGTCCTAACGCTCCAGAGCAGCGTTATTATGATAGTGAATTTCCCCTTTCTCCGAGGGATTTTTGTTTTAAGTAGACAGATGCTGTGGATGCATTTGTGCATATTCCTTAGTTCCAGTACTCCCATTTTCCCACATCAGGTTGTTGGGGAGCAGAGAAGATAGGAACTGTGGAGATCCTTGCATAGATTCCCATAGGCTCCCATTTCCACACTGCCTTCGGTGGGTGGGAGGGTGTACAGACAACGGTGAGCTGGGTGACAGTGCACTCTCTAAACCTCTGCACATTTCTGAATAATTAGTTGGGAAAACATGAATCAGTCCAATACATGGAGCACATGAAAGCAAAATCAGTGACTAAGGGTAATGTTGTCATACATGGGTTTGTGCATCTACTTGAAAACAATTCAGCTTTTGGCTTAGCAAAGGTAGGGTTTAGATTTTGTTCATTTATTCTTGTAGCTCCTATCTATAACGGCTTCTGGCTCAAAGTTGGTTTTGCTGCTTCCAAAAATAAGTTTCCTGAGTGACTGCTGCAAGCCTGAAAAGCACGATCAGGGAAACCTCTCTGCGCGTGATTAAAATAATCTATTTTTTAGCAGAGTATTAATTAGAGATCAGAAAGAAAAAAATATCACATAGCATTTAGTCACAAGAGGCTGGTAAGCTTCTTGATTCCTTCTCCAGATCTTTTTCTAACCCTGTGAAATTAGCGAGCAATGCCTGCTTACTTCAAGTGAACGTATGAGGATTAATTTGCCAGTAGCTATAGCATCCTTTTAACACAAAGCACTACATTTATTTTTTTTTTTTGCAAAAGCATTTCCAGTCTTATCTCCCAGTGCTCTCTCTTCAGCAGCTCAATGTTGCAATTACGTATAAGCGATAGTAGTAATTTTTTGTAGCCCTAACTAACTACTAAACCAAGGTGTGCTAGCACTCTGCCATTATTTATTGCCTGTGACTTGCTTTAACAGTTCAAGTGATCTTGTCTTGATGAGGAGCAATAAAAAAGCAATATATTCTCTGGTATGTTGAGGAAAATACAAGCAGTGTTAATAAGTGGCCGGTTTTATTAGGGATGGATCTGCTGGAGCAGGAAGAGTGGTTATGCAGCCACTGGCATGGCCAAGTGGACATGAAATAGGGGCTATGGAGACTGGTACCCCAGTTTGTTCACACCACCATTATGCTTTATCTTCCTGTTACAAACCACCAGCACCTCCAGGGTGTTTCCCAGTTATTGTAACGCATCTTTTACCTGATGGCCCTTCCTGGCTTTGGCTGAGGCCAGAGGCTGGTCTGTTTTACTCAGCAGAACAACGCCAACCCCCCACTCCTTTATATAACATTAAACAAGGGCTATGCTTATGGAAGGAACTGCTCAATGAATTGCCACAACTGCGAGGTTTTGCCTTCCTGGCTCAGGAGCCCCTGCCAGTCTAGTAACTTTCACATTGCAGCTGACACTGTGAAGCGGGCAAGTTTTAGCCTTTCTGAAGACTTGAGGCAAAAATGAATGGTGTAGCAACCTGGTGCCTTCTCTAAGCTCACACAAGAACAACAGGAAAGAACCGGGAATAAGACGGGCAGAACTGCAAGTCTCTTACCCTTTAGTCAGGCATTTTTGTGTTCATCCTCAGCTACCTGCCGCAGTGCCTGGTCCTGCCGTGCTTTCTCAGCGGGCTTTCTTTTCCCACTTTGCTCAGGAATGTTCGTACCAACGCAGAGAACCGAAGGTATCTCCACGTCAGATATCATCACGAGGATCGTCCGGGACTACGACGTGTATGCCCGGCGTAACCTCCAACGAGGATACACCGCCAAAGAGCTGAATGTTAGTTTTATAAATGTAAGTACACCGATCTGCATTTGTTTCTGAAACACTATCTCCTAGGACCCCGAATGTAAAGCTTAAAAAGGCTATCTTCCTCCTGCTGTTTTTAAAATAGCTGGGAAGAACTTAATTTAAAAGAAATTGCTAAGCTGAGCGTAGTTTTAATTGCTCCTATTAATTAGCAGCTTCAATTCCATCTTAAGCTTTCATGTTTGTAACAAAGCTGCTGCTCCCCCCTCCTCCTAGAGCTGTGACTTAATGACACACTAGGAAGGAGGCCACCCCACCACCGCAGGCTTCCCAGCCACTCACCCAAGTCATGATTTCGTGCGTTATTCCCCTTGTGAGAAGGCAGCACAGAGAGCAAAGATTTTAATACCCGAACTTTTTCTACAACATGACAGGATAAAACCCAAACCAGCTGAGCAGTGAGATAACTAAAGGAGGCTAAAGTAGTTTTTAAAAGACAAGGAAGGGTGTTAGGAAGCTCACACACAAATAATGCTGAAGAGATCAGAGGCCACAATAGGTAGGGCAAGAACACCATTTTAAAAGGATGGCTCAGAAAAATGTATCAGCTCAAATTATTCAGTTTCCATGTACAGAACTGCACCTTACTCCCCAGTAAGGAGTAAACTCTTAGCAGAAACAAAAGTTTACTTTCCTTCATTTTCTGTTTCAAGTCTTAACTGAAGGCCTCAAGATAACCCACATTACCAAAGTCTTTCCTGTGATTGGACTGGCTCACAGGAGGACTTCCCCCTCCTTCTCCGGAGCTGGGAAACCCCCTTGTGAAGGACTGACTTGTGTCATTTCATGAGGTTTTTGTTTACTTGTGTCTTATTTTGAAGTCTGGCAGATAAATCACAGACTACAGGGCATAAATATTTTATTTCACTGTGCTTTTTTTTTTCAGTCTTCTACAAAATCTCTAAAAAAATCTTGCTTGTAAGTACTCTACCCAGGAGGATCACTATTGTTAAGATCCGTTAAATTAAGTCATGCTGATGCCTTGGGTGTTCTCAAATTTATCCTTTAGAGGCTCTGAGGTTAAGATTCTGTTGCATAAGGTATGCTTCCCCCAGTCTCAAGACACTGATGTATCCTGAAGTTCCTCCTGGCATTTGGTTATTTAGCTTATAGTAATTTAAATACAGAAATACTAATTTGTACCAGAGGCTGTTTGTGTTTCAAAATAAAAAAACCCAGGATTTTGCCAAGACAGAAGAGCACTGGTCTCCTTGTTAAAGGAAAGGCTTCATCACCTATTAGGTGCAAAGTGAGTTCAGGACAAAAGCCCTTTAACCCTAAAGTATTTTAGAAGCTTGCCCTGACATTAGCCCCCTAACATTATCTTCTCTGTCCCTCTCTTTTTCTGTATGACTTCACAATTAGGAGTTTGCTATCTTTTCTATCAAGTCTGCTGGCCACAAGCCACTGGCCCCAGCACATCTTCCTGTTGCAGCCAGAAGCTCCTGTATTAGCCAGGCTTGGGGGTAAAGAGAGTTTTCCTTCTGCTCTGCAGAACTCCAACCAAAGAGACATTTTGGTCCAAATTATCATCCCAGCTGGCAAGTCAGCAGTGGTCTGCATTTGCTAGGAAACCCAGGGAGACTTGCCTTTTGCTTAAGTTTGAGCTGTTAATTTCTCAGCTATATCCTTCACAAGATTCATATAATTTTCAAAGTGCATTCAGTTTGAAAATATGGAAAGATTCATGTAGTGAATTAAACACAGTAATCACACAAGACAGTCTTTTCAATGTGGACCTTCTGCACTTCATTCCACAAATGTTAAATTTGCATTTACAAAAATAATGTGGGAATAGTTAACTAAGGCCATATGTATTAGGATACATGAATCCAATTTTTTTCTTCTTCACAACTGTCAGTGGCTAATTATTTCCAAGTCCTTATATATTAATCTCCGTCCCCACTTTTAAAACAGGAGAAGAAATACCGTTTTCAAAACCAAGTGGACAAAATGAAGGAAAAAGTCAAGAATGTGGAGGAAAAGTCAAAAGAATTCGTTTACAAGGTGGAAGAGAAGAGCCATGACCTCATTCAGAAATGGGAAGAAAAGTCCAGGGAATTTATTGGCAACTTTTTAGAGCTGTTTGGACCCGATGGAGCCTGGGTAGGTATTCTGCCATCTCAGGAAAACTGAGTGTTTATTTATCTTCTGTAATGCAGATCAAGAGCAGATTCTTTTGCTCCAGTCTTTGTTTTGAAAGCCAGCACAGTAGGATAACACCAAACCTGCCTGCTGAATCTAATAACGCATGCCAATACTGCAGCAGGAGGATTTGCCACTTCTGGCTGTTGCTTCTTTGGGATAATTTCTATCTTTTGTGAAGGTGCGATGCTGAATGTGATACTGCGTTCAGTGGAGCTGTGTAACAGCAACACATGAGCAAACAGGCTAATACATCTGTTCTCCCCATTAGCACTAAATGGGACCATACAGACATCAGGGAGGAATTACACACTGGAGGTGGTGAGGAAAACAGGGACGCTGACAAGGTTTTCAATGGTTGTCTTCATGCTCTGTATTCAGCAGTAGAAGATGACAATTTTCTACCTTTAAAAATTACTGATGTAAAGTTCTGAGAAATGATTATACATGTTGAGTGACCAGGTTTCTCTAACTGACTGGAGAGAAGGCTCAGGTGGGACTGAAGCACTGTCGAAGCTCTCCTCAGTATGTGCTGGCTCCACAGAGCCCATTTACCAAAGGTCCTCAGGTGCCTTGGAAAGGCAGTTGAGAGTCTGTAACAGCATCCTTCTGGGGAGAAACCCCAGGGCCTTACCAGCTCAAACCAGTCACGCACTTAGTGAGTGGTGAGTTGGTGACACTTCAGAGACCCAAAAGAGTCTTGGCCCCCATCTTTCAGTTTTGATAGCTTGCCAAACCTTGAGAAGCTTTGTTTTCTTGTACTGCTTAAAACCAGTAGCAAAGCTTAACTCGAATGTAAAAGTTACCATTTATTTGAACAGACCTTCTTAGACCTTCCTGTTGGGAGTCAGTCCGTTTCCAACAAGGTCTCTGCACAGCTGTGTTCCCGTGAAAGCCCAGGCCCCAGCAAGACCCTCCAGTACATGCATCATCTTGGACGTGCTGCTGTAGTTGCAACCTCTGAGCAAAGCTTTTGCCTGGTTCAAGGAACTCTAAGCAAGCATGGAGGAGAGCAGCAAGTAATGCAGGGTGAACTGAGGGGAGCAGAGCAAGAGCTAGAAAAAATAACCCCACAGAACAGCAGGGTGCTTCAGAGGTGCATTTTCAGACCGTGGCACGCAGTCAGGCAGCTCCCTCCTCACTGGAAAGCAGAGCCTTTGCAAGAGGCTTGTGCAAGCCTTCAACTGCTCATGGATTGGAGTTTCAGGCAAAATGTCAACAGAGGCAGCAAGACAGAAAAAACAGTTTAGGAGTAGCATGAAGCAGATACTATTGGAATATTTTTAAAGAGCCAACACACACGTAATGTTCTCTCATGTCAGTTTTATCAGTTCATACATGAACAACTTTCCATCACGAAAGGTACCTTCTGTTGGAAATATCTCAGCAGAGGTTTTGTTTATAAACAAGCCCTCAGGAAGCTTCACAAACCCTTGGTGAATTAAGTAGCTCACGTCACAGCCGCCTCACAATTCAGTGCCACCAAAGCACGTAGTACCTGCCTGTTATTGGAGTTCTCATCTTTTCTCTGCCATGAGTTGCCTTGTTGATTACCACTCAGCTGAGAAAAGCCTAAAATTAGGCTGTGCAGGCTTCAGAACAGAGACTGCATCTTTATAATCTCCTTACAACTACGTCTGGCCTGTGCAAAGGCAGGTGCTCGCTGAGGAACAGTGGTCCCAGCTGTATAAACAAAAAGCTTATTTAGCAATTTGTCCATTGGCAGTATAATTTTCCTTGGGAAGCGGAAGAGGGTAAACTTTTAACGAAAAGCCCAGGTTTACCTGCATTGACCACATCCACATGGGGAATGCTTTTTCTGCAAGTTACTCTCCATAGAGCTTGGCAAGTGTTCCCCCATGTAGGATGGTCCTGTGGCCATAGGTGCTGAAAAAATGAAACTGCTGCTAACAGAGCACAGGAAACCCACAGGGGGTGAGATGAGTTTGGCTGCGGAGAGAGGAAAAGAATTTCAAAGCCTCGATCCCATTCCCTGGCTCTGCCCACTCAACACTGCACACCGATGGCATTTTTAAAAACCCATTGCTGATAAGAAAATGTTACCAAATGCAAGTAGAGGAAAGCTGCTCTGCAAAGGTTGTTGGAGGGGGTGGCGAGGGCCTCCTGTTCGCTGAGCTAGTGTCCCAACCACAGAGCAAGAAATCTGGTGCGACCGCAGAGACCTTTGCTAAGTACAAGAGTGAAAATTCCTTGCAGTGTGGTAGGAAAAGCGTCAGTGACAGCGAGCTGAGAGGTGTTGTGGCTTTTTTTAAATCAGTTTGAGCCTTGCAACAGGAAAGACTTTTAAAATAATGATAACTTGCTATTAGTGTCAAAACTGTTATTAACATTAATTTGCCTTATCACTGTTAGTTAGATGTTGCTTTTAATGTTGACATTAAAAGTACAAGAATCATTATGGGCATGCTAGATTCCTAGATCAGTAATTTGCATGCCATTAATATGCTATTATTATTTCACAAATAATTATTATAATACACTTATGCTAGCATCAGATTTCTAAAAGTAAGGGCTACGTAACCCGCAAAAAAAAAAGCCTGTTTGTGAAAAAGGTCAAAATGTCAGTTTTCAAATGTCAAGATGTCTATAATTCATTGCCAATTTTGCTCACCTGTGCAATCCCCTGTATGTATTTTTTCTGCGCGAGAGTCACAGAGGTGTCAGAAACAACAGCTAACGTGGGATGAAACTTTTGTCCTGGCTTGAGAGAGTACCACCGTGCAGCCCAGCATGGAGGCCCTAATGGTAGAGATGTCGTTCCACAGATGTGGAAACCAGTGGGCTTCATTCCACATCCTCTGACACAGAGGAGCAGGCAGCTCCCTTCAGAAAGCAAGTCTCACAGGGCTTCTGTGCCAGTCCCCCCTGGGAGGAGACGAGGTGTCCCTCCAAAGGGCTCGTTTCCCTCTACTCGGTGCACAGAGGGAGTGGGGGACAGCTGCGCTGGAAAATGGCTGCATAAATCTTCCAGGTTGCAATTAGAACCCGGGACCAGTGTTTAGGTCACACTGTGTGTCCGCAGCCTGGACCTCAGCATGGCCTTGAAAGTCTGCAGAAAGCAGCAGTCCACCGTAACGCCCAACTGGCACTTGTTTTGTAAAGCAAAGGAGTATCAACATGTGGGCAATAAAATTCAGAAATAGGTAAAATGTTTTTGCCCAGTAGCAATGCTTTGCTTTTGGCACACTTATCTCCCTAAACTAGTTGGGTGTACCTGAATGTGCTTGAACCAAGGCTTTGAAATTCTTTTCCTGCCCCTGGTAAAGGTCCAGAGCTCACCCAGCCTTGTCTAACCCTCCAGCACTCCAAAGAAGCCATTAACACTTGTCCTACTTCTTCAGCACCCAGTGCCTAAGGAACACTCCCCCATGAGGAAGACCTTGCCTGCGAAGGGCATGACTTCCTGACCCTGCTAGAGCACAGCTGGAGGGGAAGAGTCATTCTGGGGGCAGGTGAATTACACTACCTCCTCCTCCTCCTGCCATAGTTTTGGTTTTAGCCAGCAACCTGGTGGCTAAAGCACTAATGCAGGAGGCAATCCGGACTGGGCGGGCACTTACCCTGCTGAAGGTGTGAGTGCACCAACTTGTTCAAGCAACAAACTCTCTGCTGAAACAGGTGTCCTACAGCCTGGCTGAGGGCCTTAGCGGGAAGGTGGGGTGCTCCTTTCCATCCCTGGCCCATGCGGCCCAAGGAACAGTCCCGCACCCGCTGCCACATGGGATACCAGCCAAGCTGGCCACTTCAATCTTCCCCAGCACCGGTACCACACCACCATGAAGCAGCGCAACGTCACTGAGTTTTTTGAAGTGGCTGGTAAGGTGCCAAGAGCAGGAGGGAGTCACAGTATTTTGCTTGCCCAGGAAAAAGATATTTCATATCAAACATTTCTTTTTTGGGGGTTATTTTTTTTTGTTGGGGGTTATCTTCAGTCAGAGGATGAAACAGACTAAGTCATGCCAACAGAACCTCAGTTTCTGTGATCTAAAGAGAAATTTTGCACTCCTACCACTGAATTTCAACAGGCTCCAGGGCTTTGCCAGCCCCGGTGACATCCTCACAGCTCTCAGCAGCAGAAACCCTCCCCCATCCGAATGCTTCCTGGCATCATTTCTCAGGAACAACCACCATCTGCTAACTGTTGAGATTTTAGGAAGTCTGGAGTATTTTGGACCTAGCAGCAGTGCAGGTTATACACTGTAGGTCTTCATGCATGAGAGCATGACTGAGCACGGCTCCAGACAGGAACTGTTCTGTCATTCTGCACTGCAGCAATATCCAGGCTCTAAAAGTAAGTTAATAAAGGCTGATGTGATAAAGATATAAATTGGGTGAGAGCACACAGAGGAACAGTTAAGTTTGGTATTTCTGCTCGATCGTTAACCCCCAGGATTAGCAGGCACCAGAAACACGATAGGAAAACCTAGCATCTGTCCCTCTGCTGGCAGGGAGTACTGAGTTTCAAAGAGGGGGAGGAAGAGCAAGATGGGCAGCCACGTGCTCCTTGGCTGGGAGGAAGGTCATCACAGAGCGGAGTCACTGCAGGGGGAAAGGGGAGGAAGAACAAAATAAAAACTCAAGCTGAGAAAATCTGTGGTCGGCAGCTGCCCAAGCAGGCAAACCCAGAATACATTCTGCAGAAGTATTTCGCTCTCAGACCTGGGCGGCGGCTTAACTTTGTCTGGACTGGCTCTTCCATTCCAGCCGAGCATCACCTACGATCCGACCCCCAGTACTCCAGCCAAGGTCGAGACTTCTTGTTCCCCATCCCCAGAAGGAGCAGCGAGACGCTCGCATTTGGCATGTTCCACATGAAGCCTGCAGTAGCTGCGCAGTACGTGCCAGACCTCCTGTAACCCAGCCCGGCAGCCTAACGCAAGACCACATGGGTGCTAACAAGTAGCAGCATATGCCTTAGTGTAGCACATTGCTTGACAGAAAAGGTGGTCTCTTCCACCCCACCAGCTCTGGCAGGCCTCCACTCAGCTTTACAAAGCAAAACCGACAATAAAAGTCCAAAGCAGAACATAGAGCCTGCATGTGTTTCTCTTTTCAACAGACACCTGAATTCTGACATTCCCCCTCCTGGTTTAAGGGTTTGGGCGGTGCATGCTCCAGGCAGCTGGAGAAGGGAAGGAGGAAAAAAGGCTGTGCTAGCCAGGAAGCTCAGCAGGAGGCGGGTGGTCCATCCCAGCATGCTAAAAGGAGAACGTCCTGGGAACAAGAAACATGGGGAGTTCAGGCAGAAGACTGACTTTTTGAGACAGAGTGTGACCAACACATACAAGCAATCCAAAGGGAGTTCCCCCTAGCTGGGTTAGGACAATACCCACAGTATTCTCACAGCAGGGGCGCGTGAGGATCCAAGCAAAATCCTTGTCATGTGAAAACCAGGTTATTACGAGCACAGTAGAAGAGGCAAAGGCTAAGTGTGGGCTGCACTGGCCACGCTTCAGAGCAGAAGTCTACCCCCTGTGCTCTCTCCCCAGGTGAGAGGCGCAGTGCCGGGCAGCCCCTGCCTGCCCACAGACATACCTTCCCCGCTGTGCATTACTCAAAGAGCATCTTTTCGCTTTGCTTTTGCAGAAGCAAATGTTCCAGGAACGGAGCGGCCGAATGCTCCAGGCTTTTTCTCCCAGGCAGAGCCCAAACAGCAGTCCTACGCGAGGCCGCTCTCCATCCCGTTCTCCATCTCCACCCTGGGTCTTCAATAAAGCCTCCCCTCCCTCTTCTCCAAAAGCTGCCTCTGCCTCCCTCAGCAGCATGAGCGAGGGAGACGAGGATGAAAAGTAAAAGAATGATATATTTTTTTAACCATGAGACAGAAGAACAAGCGATGAACTCAACCACTGGATGGGGAGAAGCGTGAGGAACATCAGGGCTATCTCTGACAGCAAGGAACGTGCTCTGGGAGAAGATGTCAAAACCGGACTGGAGCACAGCAAGGGAGATCTCAGGAAGAGCTTATCCCATCCCCACTCTCTCACTGTGCCTGGAGGCCCAGCCAGCAGTGCTTGCCAGACACGGTACCAGGGACTGACGGAAGAACGTAACACCTTTGTGCAAGTTCCTGTCCATGCGTTGCTGCTTACGGCTGCTGCGGCCAGGCCAGGCTGGCGGGGAGCCCCGCAGCAGGTAGGGCTGGCGGGAGGAGCCTGGTCGGCTCCCCATCCGGACCCAGCACACAGGCAAGCGCCGGCTGCGGCCTGTGGGTGGAGAATATGCAGTTGTACTGGACCCTGCTAACCTTGAGCTCTTCCGGCACGTGAAGGAATGGCATTGCTGCAGCAAATACGTTTAGAAACGGGAAATAAAATTTTACCACCCCCACCCCCCCCTTGAATGAAATCTGCCCCAGATCCCAAACCATTCCAGTGAAATGGAGAGCTCTCCAGTTGAGTTGGTGGAAATCCATTTAATATATTCAAGCTATTGAATGCTGCTTGTTGACCAAGCCTCTCTACGGGGCATATGTAAAGAGTCAGGCTATATTTGCTTTATCAAATCGCTCTCGGTGTTCCCAGTGCCTGAACAGCTACCTGGTAACTTCTGTTTTGCTCCCTGGCTTTGCACTTTGGAGGCAAGAAAGTCAATGAAAAGACAGCCCCAGCTGGAACATGTTGTAGGAAATAGTTTGAAGACATTGGTGATTTTTACTGGTAAATTCTATAAAAACACACGTGGGATCCCAAGGCCTCGAGACATGGCCTCCTCGGAAATCCTGGTGCGCCCAGCTAGGAATTGCCAAACAACACAGCACAACAGTGCTACTCAGTTGGTTAAACAAATTTCTCAAACTCTGAACAAGATGTTTTCACAGACAACCTCCTCCCGCAGGGGTCCTGAGACCATTCCCGTACCCTAATGTGGAGAAAAAGTTTGAAAAAACAACTGAAACCTTTTAAACAGGATTAGGTGGGGGATTTTCTTTTTCCATCCATGACCCCCGTAGAGCCCCAAGCAGAACCACAGAACGGGTAGCATGAGTGAAGCTTTCCCCGCCCCTCGATGCACTAGCTGATTTCCTTCAGCTTGGCAAAGGAAAGGATGACTCCACCAATCAGTCCTTCTGTAGGCACCTAGTGAGGGGGCTGCAAACTTGCAGGATTTCTGACCATGGGGGACCCCCACCCCCCGGGGCTGCCCTGCCCCACAGCACGGAAAACTGTAGGGAACACCCAGCCCGCAGCACTGTGGTAGGTCTGCGAACCAACGATGTGATTTTGCTCCGGGGTTTGCCTGACGAAACCTACCTCAGTGCACAGGCACTTTTGAAGCTCTCCAGCCCAACGCCAGCTTTGGTGCCACCACCCACCTGTCCCACCAGCAGCCTCGGGCAGCCTGGGCAGGGGGTGGCAGCGGTGAAATTGCCCCTGTGCCACTGCTGCCTGGAGTTGCAAACCCATCAGGACAGGCAGCCTGCTGCGGGCAGCACCAGTCAGCGCTGTGCTGGTTCCCTGCGCAAGCAGCACAGGAAACACTGGGAGAGGGAAGGCTCTGAGCTTTCCTCTTGGAAAGAGCTGATGGAACAAGATGCCCGAGTGCCTGAGCACACAGGGGTAGTACCTGCTGGCAGCAGGCCCCCCCAGGCTGCCCTCCTTACCTCGCTGAGTGACTTAGTAGGTAAACTCCTTTCAACTCCTTCCCTTCCAGATACTTTACCAGGCAGGTAACTTACAGACCCTCGCACCAGGCACAAAATTAGCCCCATGGTCTTCATTCCCAACAGGTTTCATCCATTCCCCACTAGAGGGTAACTGATTTTTTTTTTTTTTTTTTGTGGGGGGGGGGGGGGGAACCACTTTGCCAGATACTTCTCCAACTACCACAAAACCGAGTATGTATCTCATGGCATGCTTTGTCCTCTGGAGTCAAGCTAGTTCCTTCTTCACAGAGCTGCAAAAAGATGAGCAGGGAACACGGTGAACTACCGCTTTCACTAGAAGGTGCAAGGGGAGAGCCACAGCTGGTTCAGCTGCCGCCAGCTGTGCGCCCAATGGGACGATGCAATTAAGACCTTTCTCAGCCTTAGGCAACCTGTTACTGTAATTTCATACCTGGGTTGCACTCGTTAGTTTTTCTGATCCTTTGCAAGTCTTTTAAGTCTTCCCATCACAAACCACTCCTCCACCCCGGGAACCGTCTGCTCTCTACTGGTGCTGTTTATACGATGAGCCATGTCCAAATGCAATGGAGGTGGGCAGGTTTTTGTTGTCCTTGGCTTTTACCGTTTGGGTTTTTGTTTTAATTTCATAGCACTTACTGTTCAGCAGCCCTTGTTCAGTGGTTTGGGTGGAAGACAGCACCACAACTTGTAAGGGGGAACTGGAGAAGAACTCACCAGTGATCTCTTCTTAACAGAAGCTGTTTCTCAGAGTCACAGGTGGCTGTCCAGTGACAAAGCCATACACTGTACCAGATGACCTTTTGCATTTAGGATATCAATAAGCTGAAGCCTTTGGCCTGCTGGTACAGACACCAATATCCACGTGCTGTCTCCAGCAAACCAGAACCTCATTGCCTCTGGACAGGTAGAGGGCAATTTTGCACTTCTGAGTCATGGTTGGGTTTTATTTTTCATGAGTGTTGCTTTAATTCAGTCCTATTTATCAGCCAAGCTCCACATGAAAAATAAACACTGTACAACAGATACTGCTGCCTCTCACCTTCATTTATAGCACCTTTCGACACGTAAATACAACGCCTGGCATAGCCCTCGCCGATAGCCCAGCGCTTGTCATCCCCATCCTTTGTACCCCAGGGCTTTACGACCCCGCAAATGCCACTAGAGCAGCCTCCCCACCCTGCCCCAAATCCTGCTGCTCGAGTTACTACTGCTGCTCTCCGCTCTGACGGGATCACCTCTGCTTTCCCGCACTCACATTTTATTGCTGCAAGGTGAAGGTGGGGAAATGCTGCCTCAAGATGGCACGGCGCAGCATTAGACACCAGCAAGCCTGAGACCTCCCTTGCCCTCTGCCCCAGCACAGGGGAATCGGGAGCCGCTATTTTAATTCTTACTTCTAAGTGGAAGAACGAGGCAGTGCTTTTGCAGCCATCCTGGTTCTGCTTCTGAAAACCGTCCCCAGCAGCAGCGATGCTCCTGTGTGTGCCAATGTGGTTTGCAGCTGTGCCAGATTTGTGTTAAAACTGCAACAGCAAACATTAGCCCCCGGGACAACTCCTGATAGTGGCCTTCGAACTTTACTCTTCCTACAGCTAAGACAGTCTGATGCCTGAATGTTCCTGCTGCGCTCTTTCCC